AAGTGCAGATAGACTAAAGCTGTCTTGTATCTAATGTTTCACTAGTGGGACCTGTCTTTAATTTCACATGTAATAAATGACCAGCCTGACCACAGTCATGGCTGGGGTTGGGATGCTGACTCAGAAAAACACTTCAGCGCCTGTATTTGGCTGCTACTGTCTGACAGACTGTTTGTGTCTCCAGTGACATGTTTATTCCTGTTTTGAAGAGGGAACTGGCAGTCAGAGGAGAGTGATATGATGGGTACTGTGCGTATCGGAGGACAGATCTGTTGGTTGTGTTTCTGTCTCACTCTATCTTATTTAGATACAAAAATAGCTTGAAGGTGGGTTGGGTTGTTAATGAGATGTTGGAGAAGAGGGAATCATCATCACAATTCATCAACCATGTGTAATTAATGTCTGAACCATTTGGGGTGACTATTACTAGATGGCTGAGGAGAACTCTGAATCTCTTAAAAAACCCCCACCTCTTAAACGTTGAAGAAAATCAAAGATTATTAAAGCGATGGAGACATACTTTCTTAAATCTTATATGAACCTATGATTTCTCCCTGGAGGCCAAGTCCTCCATAGCTGCCTGTCTGCCTGGATGAATTTGTTGTAATCCAGTGTATGAATGTGGCATTTCATGCTTAAAAGAAAAGTGAAAGAGACGTTTCCCATGCTTCTTTTTCATATGCTATCAACTTCATTTCCAAAACAGTGGTTTCTAAACTCCAGATGAAGTTTGCTCTGACTCAGACTTTGCAGAGCTCTACTTACAGAGGTCAAAATGCACAGCGGTCCTCAGAGCAGTGTTTTGGACCAGCAGTCATGCCCAGGTTGTCATTTATAAAGTTGAGATTTGTTCAGGTGTTTGCTCAGAACTTGGAAGCAGCCTCATTTCTCAGTTAAAGAACAAAATCATTACAAGTTTTGAGCCTGAAAGAAGACAGGAAAAGTAAATGAGGGAGTTTAAAGCTGTTGATGGTGTTATATATAAAGGTTTGTCTGCCTTTGTAGGCTGAGTCGCCTAGAATGGAGTTTACAGTGTAAGCATCAAGACCTAGGCCATCAACTGTCGTCTAAACCTGGCAGGATTCCTTATGTGGAATAATTTGTTATGTGGAGCGGCCGTGTTGCGGGCTGCTCTGCGACTCAGAGTGCGAGTGGGCTGTATTCAATTTTCACTAGGATCAATTTTTCTATGACTTTGCTTGGCTGTGCATGCTTTTGCAATCAGATTAGCAAAGATTCTCTCTGTATTAGGAGCTGTTACAAGGTCTTAATTCATGCTTTTTGGAAGAGTTTCTTCATCAGCGGGGCTCACTGATGTCTCCATCTGAAGAAAGTGCCCAAGAGCAACCACTCACTGTGGTTTTGTTCTGTGGAGCAGGGTGCCTGGAGTGGCTTCAGTAACAGCTGGGCCATGTTCTTTAACTGCAGTGACACAATCAGGACCATGTTATTTTTGGCTCTTTCTCTGCTTTTTATTTTTTTTTTTAAATTTAAACGGTGATATAAGATGTTTGCTCAAAACTAAGTTTTATCAAGTTGTTCCTTTTTCCCAAATCTCTCACCCAAATACGTGGTCCAGGCATTGTTATTTTGTACACTTACTGTGCAAGTGGCTTTTTCTCCGTGTTAGTGGTTATTTTTTTTATATATAGCATGCCTCTCAAAAATTATTAATTAAAATGACTTATTGGAAAAATCAGTTTGGATTTTTTCCCCTGCTCTTAAACAAAATTTAATAGGAAGCCTTTGGTTTTGAGCTCTGGATAATATTTCCTCTTTGGCAACCCTGCTAATCATCACTGACAGATATTTCTTTCAAAAAGATTGTTTTGCATAGACAAAACTTGGCAGAGAGGTCGCCTCTGAAGAGAAGGGGAACAATAGGAAGTCAGCTATTTATTTTTAAAAATAGCTTCTTGTTTTTCCCTGTCTGTGTGGCAACTGAAGGTCTAAGCAGTGTGGCTCTCCTGGTGGGGAAAGGTCTCTGCCAGGGAATGCTGGGGTCAGGGGATGAGGTTTCATGGTTGCTCACACCCACCTCAAGTCTTGCAGGTGGCAGGGCTGGCCCAGACCCTTCCTCACATCGCTTCCCCAGTAGATGAGAAGGGACCAGGCGGTATGAGCTTGACTGGGGGAAGGATCAGGGAGATGTGAAGCCTTTCCAGGTATGTGTCATACAGTGATGCAGGTCTCTGGTCCTCTCCACCAGCCCACGCTCCTCTCCATCAGTAGAAACTGCTCGTCCCTAAGGACGAGAGCACCAGGAAAGGTAACATCAAGGCCTGGCCCAAGGGAAATGAATCACGAGGTGACATATTGGTACCTGTTTTCTGGTCCTTTGCTCATTGACAGGCAGGGTAGGGTGCTCTCACCCCAGCTGCAGGGCAGAAGGCACTGCACCCTGCAGCCTCGACGCCGGCGCAGACACGGGGGCTGTTGCTGTTAGTAGCTGCTCTACGCACGTCTGAGTGACCCGGTGCATGACCAGCTGCTTCGTCAGCCACCCGCAGCCACAGGCTTGGGGTGGGACAGGTGACCTGGGGAAGGAATGAGTGAAGGCAGAATTAGGAAATGGGTTTGAGGTTGTGGTGTGTTGTACATTGGGTAAAAATAAAATAAGTTGTGTACGTAGGGGTGGAAGGGAACATCTGGTGGGAAGCAGTTTAGTTCTGTTTGTTTGCAGGACCAGGTTTATATTGGGCATATTGAGTGTTTACCAGCCCCCCCGTGTCGGTCTGGGTTTGAAGGACAATTCCTCAGCTGATACACATGAGCATTGTACCCCCGAGGCGGGTCAGGGAGGGTTGCAAACCCCTTACCGGGCTCTGGGTTATGTTTAGTTGTAATTCCCGAGTGAATCGGACTTGGTTTGCTCCAACAACATGAGGTCATGACTGCATGGATCACGCCTTGGCTTAGAAAGGGAGAGGGCACACAGGAGACTCCTGTCTGCAGTGGGAGCAGGTGGGAGCATTACCAGACTATGGACCCAGTGCTCTCTGTGCTGTTACCGCGGCAGAAGGAGTTGCAGGTTTAAAGTGAAGCACTGGCTAAGTGAAAAAGACAACAGAGGGTTGGCCCAGGAGAGGAAGAATGAGAAGAAATGTGGTCATCCTCTTACTTAACCATTTACAAGAGGAAAACCTTTTTAATTCCTCTTTCATCCTGTCCTGGAATACATGAAAGCACTTGATACAATGTAAAATTAATTTAAATTTGATGAAGACCACTTTTTTTTTTACCATATGCTGTTGGGAGAGGTGATGATCTCTAATTACCACCTGATAACACCAGCTTTTTTAAAAATTTGAGAATAGCTCAGGTGAATAATCAAAGTAAAAGATGTAAGTAACAATTAGCATGTGTAATCTGACTTGTTACGAGGCAGCATGGAGAAGCCTTAGAGCTGGAGTGGAAGTGCACTAAAACCAAAGACCAACCAAAACTGAAAAAAAAAGCCCATGAAAATGTTGAGTTTGTTCTATAAACTGAGATACTGTGGTAGTTACAAACTGTCCTTGCAAGAAAATGGCCGGATGTGAGTTTTACTAGCAACACTGGATGTAAAAGGGCATCTCTTCAATCCTTCTATGCTATTGTCTATACCCTTTATTCTTTACATTGGTACGAATCATTACTCCTGAACTCTCAATTATGTGAAGTGAATTAGTTAGTTAGTAAGGGAATTAGTTGTTTTTCAGATTTACTCTTGCCCTGACTGTCATTTGGCCATATCCTCATTTATGTACAGGAAGCTTTGTGTTGTTATGAGAAGTGTAAATGTGCATTTTGGTCACACTTGGTGATCTTAAAGGTCTTTTCCAATCTAAACGATTCTGTGATTAAGGTGAAGATTTTTTTATTTTTTTTAAAAAAAAGGATGGCCAAATCAGAAGATTAACTAAGTAATATTAGATCTCTTGTAAACAGGTATTTTAAATACATTATTTACAGAACCTGAGATTAAATAATGGCCCCAGCACTTAAAATTTAGTCCATACATCTGAACCCTTCACCTATACCAAGTATCACCAGTGCCCTGGGCTGTATTGCAGCCAGACCCTTACAGCTTCAGCTGCCAGAGAGGAGCTTTTGTGACACCGTCTGGTATTCATTTGTCCTGTATTGTAAAAGCAGTGATGTTGTGTCTGTGATGATGTAAGGATGTAAGAACGGTGATGGTTGTATGATACTAGCTTCCAGAGCTGAAAAAGCTGTGTAAATTTTGGGGCATGCAAACTTACAGAAGGGCTTTTGATTTGAAAGCTCATTTGTTTTTCCATTTTATATGTCATTCTAATAAAGTGTACTACCTCTCCCAAATCTTGTTTTTCTTAATTTGTACAATGTTATATGAATTAACATACTCATTTTTCATTATTAAGTGTATGTATAAATCCATTAAATTGTGTTATTTAATAAACAAAAAATTTGAAATTGTAAGTTTTACTAATATGGGACACATTCCACTTACAAATGTCTCTAAAAGCCGTTCTTTGGGCATAGTGCCTTTTTTCCCTTCTGTTTCTTATCTGTCCTTCAAACTAATCAGTATATTTTTCAAGTGAGGGGAAGGGGAAGGTCTGAAATGTTTGTTTTGGCATTTGCTTCAACGATATGATTGTGGTTGGTTGGTTTGATTTCCTCAGTAACCAAAAAAACAAACCAAAAGTAATTTCTCCTTCATCATCTAATTAAATGCAAGCAGTACATGTACTTTTTTTGTAGATGCTCTAAGTTCATGGCATAAATTTCCATCCTTGTCCTAAACCTGCCAGTCTGTGCACCAGTAGAAATGAGATATTTAATCTGCTTCAGCATTTGACATGAGGTGCTGGAGTCAGGGGAAATTCAGATAAGAAATCTTTTAACAGGCTGGCCTGTAGGATATTAAAATCTGTTTATTAATTAAGTTATTAATTTTTACTATACTATATAGTAGAGAAAGAGAAAACATTGTAATGTGGGTGTATTGAAATAATCCAATATTAAAAATACTAATGTTTCTTTGCATATTTTATGAATCTGTGCCAGATTTCCCTATGGATTCTAATAATGGCAACTGTAGAGGTGCTGGCATCGGTAAGTACACTTTTCTAAAACTGTATAATAAGCTATAGTCTTTCAAATCCTTTTACTGTTTGATTAAGTGAGAGGGACACTGAGCAATGTTTAAATACTCTGTCTTGTCTGGGGATCCTGTAGACTGTGCTTCTGTATCCCGTGGGCAGGTGGGATCTGGGGCTGGTCAGCCTGTGGACCTCTCAGCAAACAACTCAATTAACTCTTTAGCTCATCTTCAGCTCTCATGCCTTCTGCTTTTCTCAGAGGAATATTTCCATCAAATCCAGAGGGCTGTGCTGATTTCTTTAAAACTTTTGCCTCAAACAGTGGGAATGTTCATTAAATGGGTTTTCACTGGGCAAAACCAGTGAAGATAATGGTTCATTCGGACCTTAAAGTTTGCAAATTAAATTTGGTGCTTTTTATAGATAATGGCAAAACTCCTGTTAACCTGAGGATGCTGAAGCTGAGACCTTCTGAATTTGGTTTTATTTTAACAGGTCCCCTGTTGCTTTTTATTTTTGTTTTGTTTTTGCTGGAACTAGTGGGTGAAGATGCACAGAAAAATTGCTGATGACAAGAAAGGGTAATATTTCTATCACTGCTTTTGGCTGTGCAAACACAGTTTCTGGTTCAATGTGCTACATCTGTTTCAACTGACACACACAGTTCAGCCACCTAAAAGGCTGTGTTTCATAACTGGTTTGTTTATACATTTGGCAAAGTAAATTTGGAATTTTGCCATTGGAAATAGAACTCTTTTTTTTTTTGCAGGTAGCAGCCTGATACCTTTTAAAAATCCTGCGATCGGCTCTATGGTTTCTGGAGCACATTGCATGTGCTGCTGTGAGTGGGCAGGACTCATGGTTTACCCCTGGTCAAGGCACCTTTTATTCCTTTATGCAGCCAGATTTTAGATGTATTTAAGATGGCAGTGATCCATGGGGAAAACCCTTTTCCCATGTAGTCCATTTGTTTTGGCATTTACAGGGAGCTTTCAAAGGTATAGATTTTGAGCTCTTGTTAGTCCTGTATTGACTTGTATTAAAAACCAGTATGGAATGGCAAAGTTAGCCGAGATCTTGGGTCAGAACTGGTGTGAGCCTCTGCCACCTGTCTCAGCGCTTGGGATATAACGATGTTGTGGCCCCAGAGTAGTTCTGGCAGCTTCAGAGGAGACTATCATGTAGGACTGGACTTACCCTGAGCACCAACAGATGCAGTACGTTTTTATAGCCACCTTTTGTGCGTGTTCACTCTCCCTGGGGAAAGCTCAACTTTGCCAGAAGGAACCATCAATCAAATATGTGTTCTCCAGTACATCTCATGATGTGCTTCCTTTGAAAGTCAGCATAGCAGAAGCTGGGAGAGAGGAGTTGGTTCCAGCTCTACAACTGACTTTATAACTGACCTTGGCAAGTGACTCTGTGTTAGTTTCTGTGTCTCTAAATAGTAGTTAGGAGTAATGCAGCATTTTGTAAAGTTCTTTGATACGTAAATTTGAAAAGCACTAGGGTGACTAGGAGGTATCCTTCATTAAGAACATGGGCAGGTCTATAATTTGCTTCTCGAACAGACTAATAAAAGATATTCCTCCAATTAATAAAATAAAATAATCAAATACCATCTTAAAACTGAGAGAAATGTGAGGTTGTGTATTCACGTTTTGTAAGTTAGACTATTTTATTCTACTTGTGCCATAGAGCGAGCAGGAGAACGTTAAAGTGTATAACTTGTTGGACTTGAATGCTGAGATGCCTGTATGAGTGTGGGTCATAGGAGCACATCTTTTATGGCCTTTTTCAAGGCAGCCTATAAAATGGGCCATAATTTGGCCTAAAGTGTGCATGAGGTCCCACAAGCAGAAGGGAAGCCAAAAATCACTTCCCTTCTCTGCCTTTATTAAAATAATAAACACAGTCTCATACAAAAGCTGAAGCCTGTAGGAGTCTATATATAGATTGCTGAGGATGTGTTTGAAATTCAAGGAAACAATATACTCTTCTTTTGCCTCTTCCCTGTATTTTTTTGTATTTTCAACTATAAAAATTCTGACAAACGAAAATAAATAATTATTTGAGAAGTTCATAACCATCTGATTCCACCTTGGTTTTTTAATATGGAGAAATCTTATGTAGCAAATCAGAGTTCTTTTTCAGACTTTTCATGTTGGATTTAACTAAGCCACTAGCTTATATGTGTTGGTATTTTAGAATGATGGTGTGTAGAAACAGGCTGCATTAAGTCTACTCCCACTTAGATGCCAAGTCAAATGTCCAAGTAGATGACCATGTGTACGTAGTACTGGGACTTGCTGTTTGAAGTGACTCCACCAAGCTCCATTCAGACACTCACTTGAAATAAGGAAATATTTGCATTAGAACAACCAGCTGTGAAATATGGGTGATGTTAATGAACGTGTGGATCTGGAGCTTCAGCATTAGCACACTCCGGGCACTAATGAAGATGTTTTTCCCTCTGTTGTTATTCCCAGCTATCTGGAAGCTGCAGCACTGGAAATGCTGCTCTGACAGTGCTCGTTTGTATTGTCTTTTGAAGGCCACCCTTACTGCCTTAAGGGCTAATCATTTCCCTATTTTAATTAAACCTGAGGTTCTGGGTCATAATAAAATTGTGTAAAATTTACACAAAAAATTGAGGAAGAGTCCAGAGCACAATCAAAGGTAACATCAAACACCTGCAGCAGTCAAGTGAAGCCCTTCAGTCTCTTAAACTCAAATCTCTCTTAAACCTCCTGCCAGATGGTGCTGGAGAGATGTGGTTGAGGTTTCATTTTGTCGGGACCATTCCAGAGCAGGGAGCCACATGTCACTTGGTCCCACCACCCTCCAGCACGCTTCATCTGTTGGCTGTAGCTCTTGGACATCTTCAGGTGTAAAGGCGCTCTGTTTACTTTATGGTGCAGCTCCAAAGATGAACTATACGTTGAGAATTAGCCACAAAAATCATATTCCTTATGGTGAATGCCTGCTGTCCAGAATATCCCAGTTTGCTAAACCGAGCTGAGATGTGTAGTCTCCAATCAAATGTTAAATCGTGCCCTGTTATAGTATTTTCTTTCTGTATCTGTGTTATGGTCTGTATGATTAAGGGTGCAGAAAGGAGAGCATTCTATAAGTGTAGTACAGAAGAGGGAACAACATTGTAATGATATGAATTGCAGCACCTGTGAGCACAGAAGAGACCAGGACTGAACTTTGAATTGGCTTAAAATGGAAGATTTTGTCACTTCAGGCTCCCAAGTCCTCGTGTCTTTGTTGTGTGAGGTTAGTTGGTCATAATGGTTTGACTTTTTAAATTTCAGCATGTCACATTTTCTCCTAGAAACCTTTGAGGTCTCGTGGACAGTTCCACAACATCTTCCAACAGAACAGACCAAAAAAAACTGTGGTTTTTAATATTTCACTTGCCTTTAATAAATAAGTCAATTCAGTGAAATTTTCATTAGGTGTGAGCTTGAGGTTTCAGGGAGATTGTCACTGAACATACACTCTTTTCTTTCTAAACAAAACTTTCTGTTTTTGTAGAGCGCTGCAAATGCAAGCCAATAAAAGCTACCCAGAAGACCTATCTACGCAACAATTACAACTACGGTAAGAACAGCTGCCTGGCCAGCTCCCAATGTTTTTAAGGCTACAGTATGGGGAAAATTTTCATTAAAAAAATCCTGTGGTCCTAATTACTGGTGGTTAATCCAAGGGTACTTATTACAGAAGGAAGATGTGGCCTGAAACAGTTCCAAATTAGAAGGATGGAGGGAATTAGCTTAATATGTTAGTAAAAGAGTGTCTTTGTTGACACTGAGTGTTATTTCAGTGTCAGTGGAGGCATTTGGGGTTCATGCACTTCTTCAGTGTGGAAAGTGATGTGACAAAAATGATGTGGGCTGCTATGCCTGAGCTGCCTCTGATTTCCAGCTCTGACATGCTCTGCTTTTTCAGGAAAGGATGTCTTTACTGTCATGCCTACAAACTCACCGTGGGATCTAACAGGGAATACTAGAGTTCTTTCCTTCTCGCCTATCCAAGCCAGCAATGAGCATCTTGCCAGCTGTGTTGTGCTGTCAGTAACACCTGTAAAAGTACATGATGTCCATATTATGTCTTCTCTTGTCCAGATTGTCCTGGTCTTCAGGCATATCACAGGTCCAGGCTGCTACTTTATTTCATACTGTTTTAAGCAAATCAGGCTGATGAAGCTGGTGAATATATATCACAGGAACTGAACAGTTGGGCCCATCCTTTTTCCCGTTAGCCACATTAATAGCCTCAGGCTCAGTGAACTTAAAGACTTCATTCAAATGGTAGTGATTGCATAATTTTTGTTAAGGTTATGCATTTATACAACTATTGCCAGATAAGCTCCTTTTAAAAATAGATCCTATTAAAAGCTAAAAAATTATAATTGCATTAAATCAAACATCCCTGTTAGTTTTTAGGTGACTATTCGATTTTATGTGGTTTTGGTGGATTTATTTGGAAAATAACTATGGAGTGACTGTTCTCCAGAGGGTACCTGCACATGGCAGAGAATCGCTGAGCATGCTACTGCCCATCTTTTCAAGCTTTTGAAGTTAAAGAGGTTTCAGAATGCATTTGAAATAACTCCAAACTAAAGCAATATTTTGTTTTGAAATCTTGAAAGGTTTTAAGGCAGTGGTAAATTGTGGGTATTTTGTACTTAGGGTAAATTGTGTATATTCAATGCCCAAGTTATTAATTGTTGGCAGCTGTATTTAATATGGCTATAATACATGCTGGTTGATGGTCTCCATGGGCAATGCATATGAAGAGAGGAGATGTGTAAGTCTGTGGTTTTCTTTCTTGCATATTACCCTTTCACATAGGTTAGAAGAAATTGGGAATCCGAGGAATCTGCTCTTTGTAATTGGAAAGGGACTCTTGTTTGCAAGCTGTGAAAGATGTGGCATTTTCTAGAGCGTGACCTCTGGATTGGCTTTGCATTTGCATGTGGTATCAGTTCACTGGTCACCGTGAGAGCAAGGGAAAGCATTGCCTTTGAAAGGCAACTTTTCCTCCTCTGCAACTTCAGGCAAAAGAAAGGGTGAGGGAGGAAACAATTAGATGGGTCATCAGGTCAAGATCAGGAGCATTTGGAGTTCATAAAATGCAGAGCAGATTGGTGCTGGGTCACTGGAGAGAGAATGAAAAAGGTAAGGGCCTGTCATCCGGCAGAAGTAGCGATACAAGAAGTTTTAATGCACATTCATGTTTTGTGAAAGGTTGAGAGTGACTAATTAAGTTTGGCCATCTGTACTGCAAATAGGCAAAGAGGGAGCAGTTACAGCTCGAGGGAGAAGGAGTGCATATAAGGAATGAATTGAATATATTTAAAATGGAAAGGGTGAAGAAGAAGGAATGCTAAAGTTAAAGCCCAACTTAAACAGGACATAAATCCAACTGGTACACAGCTCTTCCTCGTAACCATACTACTATGAGAGATACCGGGCTACCTGGACCCTCTTGGTGGAGGATGAAGTAATAAGTGAAGAGATGGGGGCAGGGGCATTGCTGGAGTTCAGCTAAGCTTTTGATAATGGACCGTGCAAAAGACTAATCCCAGAGGTCACCAAGAATGGCTTGGGGGTGACCTGCATTATCTGCTGCTGCTAACTATGCTCTTTGTGGCTTTTTTCCAGTCATTCGGGCTAAAGTGAAGGAGGTGAAGACTAAATGTCACGACGTCACTGCAGTAGTGGAAGTAAAGGAGATCCTGAAATCTTCCCTGGTGAACATCCCAAAGGACACTGTAAACCTTCACACAAACTCCGGCTGCCTGTGCCCTCCGCTCAGCACCAACGAAGAGTACATCATTATGGGCTACGAAGACGAGGAACGCTCCAGGTGGCTCTTGCTGCATTGTCCTTGCAGCGTATTTGTTGTTGTTTGTTCCCCTGCCCGTAAAGCTGAACTTCAGAACTTTCCTGGTGGAAAGGAAAACTTGGTGTGATTCTCTGTACATCTCCTTAATGGTATTTGGGGGGACAAGGCTTTCTGCAGGCACAGAGGTCTTAGTCTTGCATGTGTTGGGTTGTGTAGCTTGTGCATGCCTGGTGATGGAGTAACTGGTTGTCTCCGTTGTGTAGGCTACTCTTGGTGGAAGGCTCCATAGCTGAGAAATGGAAGGATCGTCTCGGTAAAAAAGTAAAGGTAAGAAAATATCTCACCAAAAGTCAAATATTGCAGATACCATGAAACATCTACCTGATCCTTTAAAAAAAAAGGGAAGAAAATCCACGTGTTGACCTCAGCTAATTCATATCAAGTATCAAAAATTAACTTGGTGTGTTATTTGCTGTATTACTCAGAAACGCGTGCTGGATAAACTAAAGGGATACACTCAGTTACCCCAAAGTACCTCACTGTAGCAGCAATCAAAACCTTCACTTCAAAAAAACAAACATTAGTAGTGGTTTAATTCCACAGGCAAACTGTGCATTCTGCAACACGTGTCTGCTTAATTGGGATTGTGATACTAATTAAAAAAAAAAAGGGGCTTTACAAATGTTTTCAAGACATAAGTCAGAATTATACTTTTCAGATTTAATATTCTTTAAATTCAGTTCTTTTACCTAATTGTGTGGATTAGTGACTACTTTAAATTTACCTTTCTGCCTTACATGAGGGAAGTACATGGAAGGAAGTCATGTCATAGCAAATTGGAAGCAATGAGCTCAAATGCAAGCAATATATGAAAATATATTCTAGTGTTTTCTAATGTAAATGTATTCTAATGTCTTCCAAGTTCTGGAAGGATTGCCTTTTTATGTGTTGATGCATCTTAAAGTATCAGTGATTTTGACATTGTTAGGAGTGTCATTTTACACAGAATATTCTTATTTTGACACAATTTCTCAGATGTTGACTTGATGTATGGTTGTGCCTGTGCAAACCAGTCTCCTCTTCCACTCAACACTTTCTTCAACACTCTTAAAGGTGACTGGCAGGAAAATACTGTCCTGATTACAAATGCAAGTTTTTCTGTGCACATTTGTCACATCCACAGAGATTACATGAGTGAAAAGATACAAGGATCTTATTCCAAGTTGTTGTTCGATTTGGCAGAACCTTATGAAATCTGGTGCCACAGAGTAAATACCACGTTACCGCTGTGGGCTGACTTCTGCTTAGTTCCAGTTCCTGAGTGGCAGTATCATTTGTTGGGGGTTTTTTGGGAACTGACTTAATTTCTCACTTACTTTCCTGTGGCCTGTGACCTGCTGCCTCTGCCTGGGGCTGCTGAGGACCACGGCACGTCACCACCCGCTTCTCATCACAATCTCCTTTTCCACAAGCGTCATCAGTTGTACCGACTATATTTATTACATCTCTTTGTACTGTGGTTGTCAGTACCTGGGAAAGTATAAATAAATAAATAATTTTTAAAATTTTATAAAACTTTATTTAAAAAAAACTTGATTGTTTTTTCATCCTGCCTTCCCTCAGAGACTGCACAGATGGCTTCATTTGCATTTTATTATTTAGAAGGTGAGATGCTTTTCTGTTGAAGCCATTATGCCTTGTGTCAGCTCCTTCATTCACAGAGGCTACAAGAAAGCCAGGAAATGTTTTGTCTGTTTACAGTGACTTTTACTGATAACCTCACATTCCACCATTTGAACCCAACACAGGGTAACATTGTGGATTATTTTTTTCTTTGCTGCCGTTTGTAAACACATGCAGTTGTTTTACAATAATACCTTACATCTTCTTCTGTAATCTCTTTTGTAATTTCTTTGCCTTTCGATACGCAGCGCTGGGATCAGAAACTCCGCCACCTTGGGAAGGCGAAGGGAGAGCCTGGACACAGCGACTCGGCTCCGAAGCCCGGCAAACCCAGCAGTGCCCGACAAGCACGCAGTTAGATGTGGGACACCGTACGTTGACATACAGAGGACTATCTACCAAGACTTCATGGTTGAAGCAGTGACGGAGAAATTGCACTATTGCACGTTATATTCTATTGTTTACTACAAAATAATGTTTTAGCTTATATTAGTTTTTATTCTCCCTCTTGTTTTCTACCTTTTTTTTTTTTCCAGATGTGTGCAAGCTCTGGAAGTATTTTTTTTTTTCCTGTTACTGAGAACTGTAGAAAACTGCCCTTATGAGACAGAGAAAGATAAGGACATGCTGAATTTACCATTTTATCTCCTGAATCTTCTTGGGGAGAAAATTCTGATGCAGGAATACGATCTGGCAAAGTCCATCGCTTTGAGTCATGATTGACACTGGCTTCCCCCTTTCACTTTTCTTGGTCACAGTTTGCTGAAGCTCATTGTGTTGGGGGGAGGTGATCTGATTTTAAGCACATAAATTTTTATTCTGAAGTATAATTCTGAAATATATAACAAAATGTTGTTACGACAGCTGTTTTAATCAGTACACCTTTGTTAAGTTTTCTTACTCGTAAATAAACCACTTGTGTAAGCCAAAGTTTAATTTAAAAGATTTCCTGTGACACACCTGTATGGTGTGCTGGCACACAGGGGACCTGGGTTTCCCAGTGCTCTGGACCTTGCAGGAAAGGTTGTATAGCTCTGTTACCACAGAATGTAATTTATAATATTACTACTTCTCTTATAATGGCAGTTTTTTCCCCTTTTCTTCCTTTTCTCTGCTGAGTTGTAGGAGTAGACTGACTTACCAGGCCTGCTTCTCAGTACAGGTCTGCACTTTATCCTTTTGATTTTGTGGTGTTAATTCTCAAATCTGTGCCTACATAAACAAATGTTCAATGCTCAGTAAAATATGTCCAATAAAAGAATTGTAGTTGTCAACACAGACCTTATCTGACTTTTGAACCAACGTCATATTTTTTTATATTACTGTTCGAAATATAAAAAGCAAAAAAACCTTCATTTTAGAGAATTCTTTGCAGATAATGGCAACATATTTGAAATTATCACTCTATTTTTCTTTCATGCTCAAAAGTAATTAAAATGGTGTAAATAAAAGAACACTCCTCTTTGCTGTAGTATACAGAGGGGAACCCACTGTTGCTTTGTCAGCTGTCAGTGTTGTCTTAAGTGCATCAGGGCTGCCTTTTGTTAAGAAAACAGTGGTGTGGTTGGGTATTTTGAAAATACAGTGATAGTAAGTAAACACAGACATATTTGGGAATATTTATAATAATGCTATTTTAGGATTTCATTTAATAGCCAGAGGTCTCAGGGCAGGTTTTCCATTGGGCTGGGTACCAAGCAAGTTGAAACACAGAACTGTTTTCTATAACAGTCAGAGGTGGTTTTTTTATTATTTTAAATGAAAATTAAGGGGTAATTTAGGGGAAGGGTTGGCTCTGAAGGCTAGCAGTGTAATATTAAAGCTCCAGCTAGTTCAGTGTTTGCTCAGGGTACTGCACAGGTGGGCTTAGAAGCTGTGTAAGGACTTTGAAAGAAGAAGCTGCAATAGAAGAGTAAGAATCATTGAAACAACAACAAAGCTACTCCCATTTGAAAACATCACTCTGGTGTGTTTTGGACATTGTAGTTTGGTGCTGCTGTTCACATCTACTCTATCACCTCGTTCCTGTGTTGTCCAGCCACGCTACCAGTGAGCAGGTCTCTGGTATGGCAAGGTGAACAGCATCACTGAAGCAACCAGTCCTATGAAGCCCTTTGTCAATCATATTTAATTATTGGGCTTTGGACTTTTAATTTTTTTTTTTTAAGAAATCAGTGAATAGCAGGCAGATAATGTGAGAAGGAAAATCTGCACAAAAAGCCGAGAAAACCAAACTTCTGAGTAACCTTGTTTACTACTGTCCTCCTGTCCCCATTCTTAGAGCTTTCTGAAGAAAGCAATTAAGTTTGTTGTTTTACATTTTGCTTAATCAGGTCTCAGTTGGAGACCCACCTAACCTCTCATGTAATTTACAATTAAGACTCTATGGTGTGAAAATACTTCTTTCTTGTCTTACCCAGGTTGTGCTGAGTTTTGCCACGTGCTTTCCCCTCACTATCACCCTGGTCCTACACTCAGAGCAGGTCAGTGTCTGCCCACAGGTAGTGCTTTACCCAGTTGAATTGTCTGTACTGGTTCTCCTTCCAATCCAGATACTCTTCCTTCATCCTTTAATTCCCCTAGCTAGGGCCAAAGGAAAAATAATAATCTCTGGGGACAGGGGAGGGGAAAAAAAGAAAAAAAAAAAGAAGAAATAGATCTACTTCATTAATTGATGAGAACCTGTTTCTGATCACATTCAAGTCCTTAATGATTTTTTTTTTTTTTTTTTTTTTTGTGAGGCTGAAACTCTTACCTGTTCTACATGTGATCAACAAGCTGATGACCAGAAAGTGAGGCAGCTGGTTTTGGTGTCATTAACTGCTGCAGTTTAGCATTTTTCCAGCAAGGAGAAGGAGGTTGAGGTGGCTTTCTCTGAAGGAGAGCAGAGATGCTAGCTATGGGTTTGCTCTCCTCAGTACCACACCAGCCAGGAGGATTGGTGACCTATCTCTCTTCGCTCGGCTAAGGCAGCCATTGAAGAGGTAAGGGGGAGCTTGTTGAGATGTGTTTGCCTCTGTGAGAGCAAGGTCTTGGCGGCAATCACCTGAGAGCACCCCGTGATGGCTAAGCAGTAGTGCTCATAGGTGAGGAGCACCTTGGTCTGGCCGGGGCTGTTAAATGAAGGGGTTTCCAATACAGTTGGCACAGCTAGAAATCCATGCACATTGGGCTCTTTCCTTTAGATCAGAGTTTAATATTAAGAATATCCCTACTGGAGGAGTATGATCTGGACAAACCTGCTTCTGCTCACTGCAGCGATAGTAGCATGTGAACTCGGCTGTCACCAGAGGTGAAGAGCAGCTGCTTATTTTGCATCCTGTGCTGTTCAGTGTGGTGTTAGTCAGCGACCCAGCAGCTGGTGCGGGGCTCAGTTCTCACCAGACTGCCTGGATTGGTCACTTGCTCCAGGAAAAAAAAGACCTTGGATGGCTGTAGAGCAGCACAGCTGCACCATGGGCTGCACCAAGCTCCCAGCACGGGCTTTAGTGGAGCATCCCTTTTAAACAGCATCCATGCGCTGGGGAGAAGGCTGGTTGTGCGTACAACACGCTTATTTTACAGGGTGATGCACATACCTACGCATGCACATGTGACCAAGTGTCATGGGATGTATAGAAGGATTGATTGAAACCATGCCTTTCCCACATCTGGGTTGTATTAGTCCAGAGAGAAAATATGCAGCTTAAAATCTCTGTGGATAATTAGCCTGACATGTTGCTTATCAGAAGGCACCCTTTCCTCGAGCAGCTCAGCAGATGAGAAAGCAGGAGGAATAAACAGCAAAGTTGCTTATTCACAAGCCATGTCTCTAGTTTCTGGCACGGGTTGACTCATGGTTTTAATAAATCTGCTCTGGGCACGTTAGCAATGGCAGGAAAATAACAGAGCTTAATTTCAGCCTATTATTATTATTTTTTATGTGCATAATTTCTTCTGTTAAAGTAAATAGTATGTCTATATGGTGAGACAAACTTTCACATTCATGCTAATGAGAGCAGCATAGTTGAGTTGAACAGGGTTGTGGGGAGAGCCAGTGCTGGTAGCAGTAGGCAGCTGGAGGGCCTCCTGCTTTCGGAAAGCTTTTGTTCAGAGAAAAATGCAAAATCACAATCCTTGGGGGGTGTGGTGTGTGGGGGTGGTGGCAAGTGAAAGGGGAAGATGTCAGCATTTTTAAAGGGAGGATAAAATGTCAGACTATAGGATAGGACTCAACTGGAATCAGTATTTTTTTTTTCTTTTTATAACATCCTAGTGTATCGAGCCTGAGAAAAGCATCAGTCAAGTGGGATGAAATATGCCCACTCTGAGTTACACCCTGGGCAATGCAGTGCCTGCTGGGAAGAGGAAGGCTGTGAGGGTCCCCAGCTTTAGGGGGGCTGCCAGTGCCATGGTTCCCCTGCACATTGCTGCTATTCTGTAAGATGCCAAAATCCATACCTTAAAGGCTTTGTATATTATAAATTAGGCAGGTAAGTCAACGAGATAGTAAGAATGAATGAAAAAATGAGCGTTATGCACTGAGGAAGTGATACAGCTGGGGATTCTTAAATCCAGCTGTGCAGGAGAGATTTACTGGCTGCTATTGTTTCCCTTCCCTCACATGAAATAACTCAAACCCCATACCAGCTGGTAACGTCCGCTCACAGTGCAGTTCTCAATAGTCTGCGGAGCATGTGGAGTCAGGACCCCTGGCTTGCCTCCCCACTCTCTGGCAGTGCTGCTGCAACTTAAAAAGATTTAAAAACCCAAAAAGTCCTTTGCTTCATCTATAGGACGGTACAACAGCTCCCTGTCCTGCAGGAGAGAGCTTAATACGTCATTCTGAGATCCCTGGAGGGGGATTTTCATTCCCTCCAGAACATGGTACAGGTTACTTGATTATTATTCGCTTTGGCCAGTGGTGTTGGAGCACGGGTAGGTGCAGGCTGCTGTTTTGCTGCACATGAGCCATGCCTAGCATGTTTCTTCCCAGTTCAGTGCTTTGCAAGCCTTCAGCAGTGAAGTAAATGAGGAGAGGAAGGAATCATAGAATCATAGAATGGTTTGGGTTGGAAGGGACCAAAGTGAAGCCATCCCCACAGTGCAGTTGCTGTTTCCTGAGGATAAATGACAGAGCCCGATGCATAAGATGCATTCCTGAAAGGTCACTGCATCACAGTATTAACAAGGATGACACCATGTTCAGCAACATGTTCAGAAAGCTGTTTGTAACTGCATCATCTGCAGCATCACTGACCAGGCACTGTTAGCACCGAGATCAGCAACACAGCTGCTTGGGCTTGACCCTCTTTGTCAAAATGTTTTTGTTCTCTGTATGTCGAAGGAAAAGAAGGAAAAAAAAGCAGCTTTGTTCCCTGTAGGGTTCTTGGGAGAGATGTATTTGCCCGCCCCTCTGACCTATCACCCTGAGGATTGCCACCCCCCCTTGCCTGAGCGCTGGGTTAATTAGTGCCTGGTTCTTCCCACGCTTCCTAACCTCTGGAGAGCATCAGCCTGTGCTCCAAACCTGGAGCTGCCTTGCACGAG